TTTAAGCATGGATAAATATTCTGATTCCATTAGAACAAAAAAATGAAACATCCTTAAAATACCTTTACATTTTTGTATTAATAAGCAGAAGGGTCTTACAGAACAATCATTGTCTTATAGAGCAACCAATTGTCTTGAAGAACAACCATTGTCTTATAGAACAACCATTGCCTTATAGACTAACCAATGTCTTATAGAACAACCATTGTCTTATGAACAACCATTGTCTTATAGAACAACCATTGTCTTACAGAACAATTTCCATTGTCTTATAGAACAACCATTGTCTTATAGAACAACCATTGACTTATAGAACAACCATTGACTAATAGAACACCCATTGTCTTATAGAACAACCATTCTCTTATAGAACAACCATTGACTAATAGAACAACCAATGTCTTATAGAACAACCATTGTCTTACAGAACAACCATTGACTAATAGAACAACCATTGTCTTATAGAACAACCATTGTCTTATAGAACAACCATTGACTTATAGAACAACCATTGACTTATAGAACAACCATTGTCTTATAGAACAACCATTGTCTTATAGAACAACCATTGTCTTACAGAACAACTATTGTCTTATATAACAACCATTATCTTATAGAACAACTGTTGTCTTACAGAACAATCATTGTCTTATAGCACAACCATTGTCTTACAGAACAACCATTGTCTTATAGAACAACCATTGACTTATATGACAACTATTGTCTTAAAGAACAATCATTATCTTATAGAACAACCATTGTCTTATAGAACAACTGTTGTCTTACACTTATAGAACAACCATTGTCTTACACTTATAGAACAACTATTGACTTATAGAACAATCATTGTCTTACAGAACAACCAGTGACTTAAAGAACAATCATTGTCTTACAGAACAACCATTGTCTTACAGAACAACCATTGTCTTACAGAACAACCATTGTCTAATAGAACAACCATTGTCTTACAGAACATCCATTGTCTTATAGAACAACCATTGACTAATAGAACATCCATTGTCTTATAGAACAACCATTGACTTATAGAACATCCATTGTCTTATAGAACAATCATTGACTTATAGAACATCCATTGACTTATAGAACATCCATTGTCTTATAGAACAACCATTGACTTATAGAACAACCATTGACTTATACAACATCCATTGACTTACAGAACAACCATTGTCTTATAGTACACACATTAATAACCTGAACCATTTTTAAATTTTGCATCGCTGTTACCCTGTCACAATTAATGGATCCCTCCCTCCCCGACCCCACATAGGGTTTAAGTCTCACCAACACTTTTATTTCCAAACAAACACATTCCAAAACGCTTCACTGGTAGAGGGAAACCTGAGCCTCTATGCATTACTTCAGATTTCAGTAGAACCAAATTTCAAATCACAATAGTGATTAGTTAATATTTATTTTAGTTTGATTGTCTTGGAAGCTATAAGCTTATTGAAACATTCTCGAATCTGTTCCTGGAACCAACCAGTACTATGCAATGGATGTCAAGTTTCTTGCTCAAGGAAACAACCGCTTAAGCCCCTGATAATAGGGATTCAAAACTATGGCATGAAGAGGCAAGTGATTGCATGTCAGGAAAGCATAACCACTTACCCCATAGAGACCCATCTTAAGTAATGGTTAAAAACAAAGTTTTCATTTGGTTTTGTATGCTTAATTTCAGACCATATTCAGTACAATATATCTTGTATCTTCATCAGTGAATCATTTAATAATTGATTTATTACATACAATAATATGAAACATTAGATTTATTATATATCTAAATGAGACTGAGGTTTATATGGTCCTTATCTTAGACATGGATCTCCCCTATGAAGAAATGAAATCTGATCGCATTAAATCAAACAATTATAATGATGGAGAGAATAATTATATCATATTTGCTTATTTATTGTTTTGGATATATAATTGTAACCTTGACCTCACTGAATCTGTGTAATGGACTTGTCCTGTTTTCAATTTCGAACTGTCCATTGTTTTCTAAAGGGAAAGGCAGTGACTGAATTGTGTTCACAGAAATTAACTGAATTGTGTTCCTATTAAAGGACTTGTGTTCAAATTATTTGTACTGTGTTCAAATTGAGTGATTATTTTCAAATTGACTTCAATATTATTGTGTATGTGTTAAACTGAATTATGTTCACATTTACTGAATTATGTTCACTTTAACTGAATTATGTTCACATTAACTGAATTATGTTCACATTAACTGAATTGTATTCACATTAACTGAATTATGTTCACATTTATTGAATTATGTTCACACTGACTGAATTATACTCACAATGAATGTTGCTCATATTCACATTTACCAAATTTTGCGTCCATATAGACTATATTATGTCCACCTTGATTGTCTCAGAACAACATATTTAGTTTTGTGAACAAAAACATTTTCGATGGATAAATCAGACAGAATTTAATTCATTGCCAAACACCCATCTGCAAGCCTGCTGATATGGGTGTACACAGATCCTGTTTAAATGTTTGTGAAACAAAAAGCTTACAAAGGAAATACTGTCATTCAAATTAAAACAGTAGTTTATAAGACAATTATAACATAAACACAGCATTTCCAAATCATAAACAGTTGCAAAGACGTTACAGACTTCATGAAAATTTAATTAAGATTTTGATCTAATAGCTGAAAAAATTAAAAGTATAGAAACATTGGCAGTAGTTTTTCTGATCTATTAAAATTTTGTGTTTTTAAAAACTGAAGGATTTGATTCATCCTACAATATCCAATATTATTGCCGCTTACATTGAAGAAAAAGGTTCGGTGGCATATAATCAGAAAAGCTTCAAGATTTGATTGGACTTTTGAAATTGTCCAATCACGTTGTTCCTCCGATTAGCAAACATATTCTGCCAAAAGTATGTCAAGATAATAGAGTTGTAATATGAAAGATCTTAATTGATCATAATCTTTTAATTGATCAATAGTATTATTTTAATGCTAGGACCATGTTAATAAGTAGCATAACCATTGATTTGTACTTTCAGGTCATTTTTGAAATTGACAAATAGTATTATTGCTTTCATACAAGGACCAGATTTGATTAGTAAGGTCTTTTTTAAATTGACCAATAGTATTATTGTTTTCATACATGAACCAGATTTAATTGGTCAGGTCATTTTTAAATTGACAAATAGTTATATTGTTTTCATACATGAACCAGATTTGATTGGTCAGGTCTTTTTGACATTGACCAATAGTATCAATGTTTTCAAAATACAAGGACCAAATTTGATTCGTCAGCTCTTTTAGATATTGGCCAATACTATTGTTACATTGTTTTAAGAATATATGTGAACATTGATAAATTTTCATGAAATTGATAAGACAGGTTAATTTTAAAGAAACAATTAAAGGAAAACTTTAGTTGTAGTTAATTATCAATTGTTCAGAACTTTGAAAATAGTTGAAGGTAATCAGTTAAAGGTTTTACTTGATTTATTGGATTGTTCAAGTCTGAAGCGAAAATCTTACCAAAGTTTATCTACAATGCATAAGTAAGACAGATCCTTAGGTTACTGACTTTTAATGCGCCTGTTGTTGATGATTTTATTTTAACAGCATCATTTTCTCCCCCAGAATTTTACCTAATTACCTGTACAAGTAACATGGAGACAGGGTGGCATAGTTACCAAATAATTGAAATTTGATTAGCATAACTTTTACACTTACCCGTGATATATGCTATGAACAACAACAACAACATGGCATACATTTGCATGACATGGTTATTGGTATATGAAGATTGTTTACTAGAATTGGTTCAGTAATCAAGAATGGCATATTAAAGGAACTCACCTGAGGTCCAAAAGCCTAAAATCATGAAATTTGAATTCCTTATACATCACCCAGGACACTTAAAACAATAAGCAATACAGAATATACTTAGAAATACATTGTTAAAAGAAAATCATAGTTGTTGTATTATTCTTAGTCAAATTTAAGTGAAAAGCATTGCAAGGCTTACAAATTTGAGTCACTTTTCACAATAATTTTTTTTTTTTCAGGAAAAATGGTGAGTGTGGATGATCTGAAATTTTGCACACAAATTGGTCAAGACTTACATCAAATGAAACATCAATCTTGAAAAATTATTTCTAGTCCAGTCATGTCAAAAAACCTCAGTTAAGACTCTTTAACAAATTTTGCACAAAGTGACCTTCTATTTTGCTCTCAAATAATGACCTTCTATTTTGCTCTCAAATAAGTGAGTTAAGTTTCAACCCATTCCCTTTAGTAGATTTTGGAATAATCAACTTGCATACAAATACTTGACCAAAGTGTGACAGTGATGGCAACACCTAGGTGACGTTTTTTCGAATAGTTGAGCTAAAAACTATTATTTCTTCCAATGAAAACAATACATTCTTCAGACAAGAATGCTTGCATTCTTTCATGTATTACTTCCAGAATGACAAAGGGTGGTAAATTTTTGTCTTGATTGAAACTGATTCTTTACCTCATAATTTACACATATAACATAATACCCTTTTTTCTAGTATTAATTTCTTTAAGGCTATAATATACTCTGATAATGACAGATCAAAATAATCTCACAATTGCTTCCAAGATCTTAAAAGGCAATACCTGGGAGATGATTTTCTCATTGATAAATTATTATAAAAGATAATTCTAATACTTTATCTGTTTTTATTTTTTTCATGATATAATGCTATACAATTATCTTTGCCTATACCACTTTTATTAATTGAGGTTTCAAAATGCTGAATGTCTTTACAAAAATCTTATTTTGTCTATGAATATTATACAAAATATAAATTCTATGATTGTCATACTAATTACAAGAAATGTCCGTAAGAATTTAGCTGGCTGTAATTATCACATCAGTAATACAGCTGACTGTAGTCATCACATCAGTTTGTCAGTCAACTGTAGTCATCACATATGTAAGTCAGCTGACTGTAGTCATCACATCAGTATGTCAGTCACATATGTAAGTCAGCTGACTGTAGTCATCACATCAGTATGTCAGTCAACTGTAGTCATCACATATGTAAGTCAGCTGACTGTAGTCATCACATCAGTATGTCAGTCAACTGTAGTCATCACATATGTAAGTCAGCTGACTGCAGTCATCACATCAGTATGTCAGTCAACTGTAGTCATCACATATGTAAGTCAGCTGACTGTATTCATCACATCAGTATGTCAGTCAACTGTAGTCATCACATATGTAAGTCAGCTGACTGTAGTCATCACATCAGTATGTCAGTCAACTGTAGTCACCACATATGTAAGTCAGCTGGCTGTAGTCATCAAATCAGTAAGTCAGTCAACTGTAGTCATCACTTCAGTATGTCAGTCAACTGTAGTCATCACATCAGTAAGTCAGCTGACTGTAGTCATCACTTCAGTATGTCAGTCAACTGTAGTCATCACTTCAGTATGTCAGTCAACTGTAGTCATCACTTCAGTATGTCAGTCAACTGTAGTCATCACATCAGTGAGTCAGCTGACGGTAAGTCATCACATCAGTAAGTCAGCTGACGGTAAGTCATCACATCAGTAAGTCAGTAGACTTTAGTCATCATATAAATAAGTCAGCTGACTGTAGTCATCACATCAGTAAGACAGTCCCTGAAGAAGTCATCAAATTAATAAGTAAGTCACATCAGTAAGTAAGTCAACTGTAGTTATCACATCAGTAAGTCAGTCAATTGCAATCATCACATCAGAAAGTCAGTCAAATGCAATCATCACATCAGTAAGTCAGTCAACTGTAATCATCACATTAATAAGTCAGTCAATTGTAGTCATCACATTAATAAGTCAGTAAATTGCAATCATCACATCAATAAGTCAGTCAACTGCAATCGATCACATCAGTAAGTCAGTCAATTGAAATCATCACATCAGTAAGTCAGTCAATTGCAATCATCACATCAGTAACTCAGTCAATTGCAATCATCACATCAGTAAGTCAATTGCAATCATCACATCAGTAAGTCAGTCAATTGCAATCATCACATCAGTAAGTCAGTCAATTGCAATCATCACATCAGTAAGTCAGTCAATTGCAATCATCACATCAGTAAGTCAGTCAATTGCAATCATCACATCAGTAAGTCAGTCAATTGCAATCATCACATCAGTAACTCAGTCAATTGCAATCATCACATCAGTAAGACAGTTCCTGAAGTAGTTATCACATCAGTAAGTCAGTCAATTGCAATCATCACATCACTAAGTCAGTCAATTGCAATCATCACATCAGTAAGTCAGTCAATTGCAATCATCACATCAGTAACTCAGTCAATTGCAATCATCACATCAGTAAGTCAGTCAATTGTAGGCATCACATCAGTAAGTCAATTGCAATCATCACATCAGTAAGGCAGTCAACTGCAGTCATCACATCAGTAAGTCAGCATGCTGTAGACATCACATCAGTAAGGCAGTCAACTGTAGTCATCACATCAGTAAGTCAGCATGCTGTCACATCAGTAAGTCAGTCAACTGTAGTCATCACATCAGTAAGGCAGTCAACTGTAGTCATCACATAAGTAAGTCAGCATGCTGTAGTCATCACATCAGTAAGGCAGTCAACTGTAGTCTCAGCATGCTGTAGTCATTACATCAGTACATCAGTCAACTGTAGTCATCACATAAGTAAGTCAGCCGATTGTAGTCATCTCATCAGTAAGTAAGCTGGCAGTAGTCATCACATCAGTGAGTCAACCAGCTGTAGTCATTACATCAGTGAGCCAGCCAGCTGTAGTCATCACATTAGTAAGTCAGTCAATTAGTGTCATCATATCAGTAAGTCAGTCAGTCAACTGTAGTCATCACATCAGTATGTCAGTCAACTGTAGTCATCACATCAGTAAGTCAGCGAGCTGTAGTCATCACATCAGTAAGTCAGTCAACTGTAGTCATCACATCAGTAAGTCAGTCAACTGTAGTCATCACATCAGTAAGTCAGCCAGCTGTAGTCACTACATCAGTAAGGCAGCCAGCCTTAGTCATCACATTCAGTATGTCAGTCAACTGTAGTCATCACATCAGTATGTCAGCCAGCTGTAGTCATCACATCAGTAAGTCAGTCAGCTGTAGTCATCACATCAGTAAGTCAGTCAACTGTAGTCATCACATCAGTAAGTCAGTCAGTTGTAGGCATCACATCAGTAAGTCAGTCAGTTGTAGTCATCACATCAGTAAGTCAGCTGGCTGTAGTCATCATATCAGTAAGGCAGTAAACTGTAGTCATCACATTAGTAAGCCAGCTGGCTGTAGTCATCACATCAGTAAGGCAGTAAACTGTAATTATCACATCAATTAGTCAGTCAACTGTTGTCATCACATCAGTAAGTCAGTCAGCTGTAGTCATCACATCAGTAAGTCAGTCAGCTGTAGTCATCACATCAGTATGTCAGTCAACTGTAGTCATCACATCAGTAAGTCAGTCAACTGTAGTCATCACATCAGTAAGTCAGTCAACTGTAGTCATCACATCAGTAAGTCACTCAACTGTAGTCATCACATCAGTATGTCAGTCAACTGTAGTCATCACATCAGTAAGTCAGTCGACTGTAGTCATCACATCAGTAAGTCAGCCAGCTGTAGTCATCACATCAGTAAGTCAGCCAGCTGTAGTCATCACATCAGTCAGTCAGCCAGCTGTAGTCATCACATCAGTTAGTCAGCCAGCTGTAGTCATCACATCAGTAAGCCAGTTGGGAAAAAATACTGCAAAATCTGTCATAAATTGCACGATAACATGGAAATTATTACTTTTATTTTGAATCTTTTTACTTTTCTTGAAATATTAGTACTTCTCAAGTTTGATTTTTTTAAAAATATCTTTGTTCATCCTAAGGCATGTAGCTTTAAGGTATTTTACCCTGTACAACAGGCAGACCAGAAGAAAGTGATACCCTGTTTCTACAATATTCATCAGACAACAACGCATTTAGGCATTTAATATGTTCAGACATATAATAGTACAGTCTTCCTATTTCAATAGACAATTGATGAGATGAAACCCTAAACTTACTGAGTGTTATTCGAAATTAAGCAACCTTATGCTATCTAGACAATGCTCAAACTGCCTCTAGCTTACTAGGAAAAAACTCCTTTAGAAACAATGATCACAAAAAATTATCCCACTAAACAACACTTATTACTTATATCCATAAAACAATGACTGTAACAAACAATCCCCCAAAATAACAATCATAACAAATAATCCCCCAAAACAATAATTATAACAAGCAGTCCCCCAAACAATTATTGTAACAAAATAATCCCTAAAAAATAATTATTACAACAAAATAATCCCCCAAAACAATTATTATGACAAACAATCCCCCAAAAAAATCATTATGACAAATAATCCCCCAAAACAATGATCATAACAAAAAATCCCCCAAACAATGATCATAACAAATAATTCCCCAAAACAATGATTGTATCAAAAACTCATAACATGAATTAAATCTGTTATTCACAAATAAATTAATGTTACGTCACCATGCAATATAAGTCTAACAAGAAAGATATTTTTTTATCAGAATTTTTTTCCTGTAACTGACGTACAAGAATCACATGTGATATATCTATGTACAACATGCGTTACATCAAATATTTACACAATCAGTTTCAGGTATCTGAGAACAATGACTTTTTTTGCTTTGTCTTAATGAATTTGCATGTGCACCATTTGCAATTTAATATTGCCTACTGGGGGAAAATTACTGGTAATATTATCCCTAGCCATGAATGTTATGAAATGGTTTCATCAAAGATACATCAATGTTATCTTAAACAGGCAATGTTTTGTGACAGTTTTACATTTAATAAAATTAAAAATCACTTTTCAGCCATAGTTTAACTAATATAGAAACGTTAAATTCCACAAACATAATGCTTTTCTCCAATTTTTCTTCCATATAAAAATTTTATTGCCAAAATTTTTTAATATAAATAATAATACAATTGTTACTGCATGCAGTAGTTCTTCACTGTAAACTTTTTGTGCTCTGGATACTGTAACAACAGTTTGGAAAGTTGCAGACAAAAAATTGCCTTGTTTGATTGGCATTTATTCTGCAGACAAAAATTTTACAATCTAAATGCAATATATAATTATTCCACTAGCATATCCTAGGTCATTGACTTATATTGAAATGCTGATATTGATGATAATTTTTACAGCATTATAATACTAATTGCCTGTACTAGAAATAAACAAGGATCAAAATTTCATGCGCAGTTCACCTGATTTCCTGCAGGAAGTATTTGAAATTTGATGAGAGTAATTTTCACAGTTGTCAGTCATAAACTTGATGATGCAATGATTTTCAATGGGCAATTATGTAACACTGTAATGTACATTATTACTAAATGTTAATTTGTTCAACAGTATTGTTTTCAAGAAATGGGAAATTCTATTAAAACTCTCATTCTCACTTTCTCTTATTCTTTGATGAAAACAATTTGAGCCGCATCACGACAAAACCAACATAGTGCGTTTGCGATCAGCATGGATCCAGACCAGCCTGCGCATCTGTGCAGTCTGATCAGGATCCATGCTGTTCGCTATTATTTTCTCTTCTTGTAAAAAGGTTGGTAAGCGAACAGCATGGATCCTGATCAGAATGTGCAAATGCGCAGGCTGGTCTGGATCCATGCTGGTCACAAACGCATTACGATGGTTTTGTCATGACAGGGCCGGCAGCAAATTTTAAGCAAATAATTAAATTAACATATCTATGTAATAATTTCAAATTTTATGCTTTCAGGCTTTTGTGCCTCAATAGAGCAGAGCTTTGAAACAACCAATTAGAACAGAATGATTATCACCTGTTAATTCAAAAACAATGAATATAAGTATCATTTATAAGTTTCACTGTTAATTAAAATTTTGTTGCTTAAATTTTTCTCTTTCTTTTATTGTTCATTATTCTTAAAAGCTTGTTGTTTTATATCTATTTTTTTTGCTTTTTTTTCACTTTTCATATGATATTCAAAGTGTGAAGTTAAAGAAACTACAACAAACACTCAATTTCTTTCTACTTCATTTGAAGACTTTGAGAGAACTGGCATATTTATATATAAATAAATCACTCCCATGTTTGTATAATGAACAAATTATGCCTCATGTTTTGCAAGAACTACAAGATCTATATACCCTTGAAAATGTTGTTTCAAAGAGAGGGAGGGTGTCAAATTAAAACCAGTAAAACAGGTAAATAACAAGAATATTAATGTACAAAGCAGACATAATAACATATTAGTGTCTTAAGCAGATCATTAAGTTTGTCAGTATTTAAAAAGTAACCAGCTTCATATTACAAAACCAGCTTGTCTCAGTCTACTCGATGTCTTCAAATATATGTTGGGGCATTGGCAGCATAGATGCATGGCAAAAACCACAACATCAGATTGCCAAAGTGTTCAGTCCACCCTTATGGTAGCTTGATAGGAAAAGCATTGGATTTGCAATCCAGGAGTAGCTGGTTCAATCCTCGGGTGAAGTGAAATTACTTCATAACATTATTGATCTCAACTATTGTGTTTTACTGGTCATTTGTTTTTTATCGCTGATCCAGAAATCATGCAGGATTTAAGTACCATTAGTCAGTCACTTGCATAAAATTACTAATTACTGGTAAGTTATCCAGAAAAGCCAGTTAGGTTGACTGGATCACTCAGTGTAGATATGACCAAAAATGTGTGAAAATCTGTGAAAAAAACGACCAATCAACCAAAACAACAATGTTTAGCATTTTAGAACATTCTCTGTAGTACAAAGGTAGACCAAATGCTGAGATATGACAAAAATATGTTAAAATCGGTGAAAAAAACATATACCAATCAAATAGCACTGAGGACAACTGTTACGATGTAATTTAGCATTTTTGAACTAATCTCTGTGATAAGTAGAAGAGTCTGACATGTACATTATATATACACCTATACTGACGTAAATGTCAGAAAATTCCTCGTCAATTGGTATATGGCAAAAGCAATATGCAAATGGAAAAAAAATGTTATGTAAGAAAAACATTAATTTGTTATTTAAGTGCCGAACAATTATCATTCCATATGATGATCCTTTACTTCTCAGGCAATGACGTTACTGTAGAGAGAGAAAAAAAAGCGTAAAGCAATAATCTTACTTTGAGCTCTTACTTCGAGAGTAACGGAACATTATAAAAACACAAACTATCCTATTATGTAATAAAGATATTCACCATAAATAAATGCAATACATGTACCTATAATATAATGCATTCTGTCTGAGAAAATCATTTCTGATATCATATGTTAAGATTATTGGAAGCAATTACTGAAATTCTTTGTTTTCTGTAATTATTAGTACATTACAATAAACTGTCTATGCAAGTATGGGTGTTTGGATTTTTGCGGAAGGTAAAATAATCTGTTTTGTATGGGACAAAAATGTAGCATCTTTTATCTATGCAGCAGGGAATGCAAACATCTTTCCCTCTGGGAATTAAGTATCACTTTGTTAAAATGTAGGTAAAAACAGTATAACATATATCATCAGGTGTAAGTATAATCAACATTAAGCGAAAAACAAAAAACGAGAACCTGATTATATTTTTCCTCTGTGAATATATTTTCAAAAGACCAATTCCCATGCTATCAAATTGTGAGAACTTTTCATTTGTAAAATGAATTTCAGCATGTTTTTAATTTTCATTAAAACATATTTTCTGTTTGGTATAAATTTATATCGAAACAGTTTATCATATTGCCATATCACAACTTTCTACCATCATTAAACATCTTCCATTACTCTGTTAAATATCATAAAATGAACTTTAAATTCCATCCTCATATCTTGACATGACTATTCATCATTTTATTAGGAAAATTTAAAGAAAAAACTTGACTGAAAAGCGAACATATCACAGACCATGATCAGCAGCACCAATAAGCCACACTTGTCACAAATTGGGTTACATGCTTAAAGTTATATTTCTACAGTTGTTGATGTCAGGTATAGGGCGGAACGTAATATAACCCTTACCAAGTGTTAAGAGTCCTCACCATGCTTAAAGGATCTCAAATGAGGTCCAAAAGTTTCATAAGAATTGAAATTCTTTCATAAATCAACTTATGCATTTAAAACAGAAGACTAAGCAATTATAGATAATATAAAAAATAAACTCAACATAAAATTGATAATTAATTATTTATGCGATTTTTGGACCTACCTGTGTGAAAAGCTTAAAAGGGTAGATTTGCACAGTAAAATTATAGTCATTGGGAAACGGATAAGGGAATGATCTGAAATTTTGAGAGCAAGTTATTGGTCCAGATCTACATCCAGTTATACAAAAAACTTGAAAAATGTTTTTGGTCTATTCATGTCACAAGGGTATTACTAGTTGCTGCCAGTAGGCTATTTAAGGGTTAAAGATCTGGAAAAAGGGTGATCCCTCGGAAGCATTAATCACAATAAAATTACATGAAAATTGCAGGCTCGGTTTCATTGAGTCTGTACATATAAGGAATAATGAAAAAGTGCAACATCCCTCAGGCCGCCTAGCACCGGCTTGAGTGGTACTCAATTTTTTTTAACATTTAAAAGCCACAGACTATAACACCACACAACACGGCAAGTAAGATACTACCACTACTTTCAAAAACCTTACCAATATTTTCTTACAAAAAAAACAACAAAAATTCATTCTACTATATCTTTCAAACCAGACTGAGAATAAACAGCAATTGTTCATGCAATATCATAATCTATTTAATAAACATTATATTCAAATGAAAAGTGTGATATATCTCTACTTTACCATGGAGACTGTTATTTCTTTGGAATTGTAGAATAACAAAAAATCAAGGCAGGATTTCTGGGGGTTAGGAAATCTTCAACAGAACATGGTATGTTGATACTGAACATGCTTGGAAATTAAAAGAACATTTGTAAAGTGGTAGAGAAATAGATAAATTTCATTTTTCCACCAAACTGATTATTTTGTCATAAAGGCACCTGCATAGTGTTACAAGTACAAAATTTTGTGTGCACTATTACATGAAAGCAATTTGTTTTGTTTGTTGTTAGTCTTATTTTTCTGAACGGAAGAAATTTTACTATTGAAATGATTTGTGTATGGACTATTTGTTTCTCTGTTTCAATTAAAAAGCTTTAGAGTATATTTATTCATTTCAATGCCTAAATTACCTCAAGTAACATAATAGAGGAAACAGAAGAACATAAAAAGCCTTATCTTTTTTTTCTATTGGGTGGGGGGAAATTTGGGTTTTCCATGACTTTCCAACTGTACTGGTGGAGGAAAACTTTGGTTGCTCCTCCACCATTCATTATTTCAGGCATGAATGGGCACCTGAGAAGAACCACTAATGTTCCATAAGGTAGCCAGATAGCTTCCTCACATGAAAGAATCCACAGTCCCTCAGCACTGAGGGGCAAGTGGTTTGAAGTCAATGATCTTAACCTTTTGGACACAGATGTTTAATGCCTTAGATTATTATGTCACCAATTTAGAGCCATGCCAGATTGCACAGCCAATAAACCTGAGACAAACATGTCACTGCAACAATGGCTTCTGTTACTTTCAGGAGTCAGTATTTGTGAAAGTCCTCCCATTAGATATTGGACAGTCCTTTTTAAACAATTTGCATGCAATCTGGCCTGGCTCAAATTTGGCGACATTATATATAACTATGGACATTTCCATAAAAAACAAAAGGTCATGCCAGGACTTGAACTCATGATTCAGATGGCACCAGATTGTTTTTAGGTGCAGAACACAGCTTCACCGTTACTGTAATAAGGTATAACAATTGGTGACTAATATTAGTTTTTTCAAAATTTCAATTCATTTGCACTTGCTAGATTCTCCATCAAAAATGCTTTGTAATCACAGTACAATGCATGCAAATAATATACATCAGTAATTTCATGTCAATTGCAGCTAGAGGTTGTGCGATAAATAATTAAATTCATCTGAAAAGACATTCACCTACAAAGTACTTTTTGTATATACAAATCAGTAGTAATATTAACTTGAGTTTTAATATCATATACTTGCATGTCAACAAAACAAATTATTGTAAAGTACCATATTATTAGTAACATACAAAGTTGTTTAAAGTGTACCAGGGCTTGACTATTCTCAATGCTTCATTGTAAAACAAAAGCCTGGAAAATACACAAAGTTCTGGTTAGAGTTTTTTGCCTTTGACAGTGACAGACCTCCTATTGGATTCTCAAATTTGTGAGTGAAATTTTAACCTATTCCATTCAGTGGATTTTGAGAAATTAACCTGCTCACAATTTTTGTTTGTTTGTTTGTTTGTTTGATTTTACGCCTTTTCCCAACAGTATTTCAGTCATATAGGCGGGTAGTTTCCTAACCATCGTTCCTGGAGCCTCAGTTACACCAGTACTAGACTACCTTCCTCCGCGCTAAACTACCAAAGCATCTCCCGTGGATCGAACCCACGCCAGAGAGGTCACTGGATTAGAAGCCATAAACTCTAACCCCTCGACCACAGAGGCAGTCAACCTGCTCACAAAAACTTAACCAAAATGTGAGGCAACACACTGGGTGAGTACAATTAAACTCTTCTATTTTGTGAATACTGTGGAGCAAAAATAATAACCTAGCAGCAATTTCTTGTTTTCCCTATTCTTTGCATTATAAGTCAAGCTAAAAATAATAACCAAGCAGAAATTTCTTGTTTAGGTAATAAAATATTGCATGGACAATTTCTATATCTCAAATGCTGCTTTTATATTTCAAGTATTATAAAGCATTGTCACTCTAAAGATATCATATCAAGATAGAAAGATAACAGTTTCCAACACAGATCACATTTCAAGTAATCTTCTTAAGATGTTGTCAAGCAAAATATTATATAAGAATGACTTTGCAGATTGCTTAAAAGATAATTTTCAGAAAAAAGTCGTTCAGAAAAAAGCAGAGCTAAATTTAATGTGGAAGGAGCCATTGATGGCCATTTCAACAGTGATTGACAGAACAAAATCATATATCTTTTTTTTTTTTTTTTTTTTTTTTTTTTTTTTTTTTTTGATAAATCCAACTTCACTAAGACTTGTCCAAAAGCAATTTAAGAAAATGCATTCATGTAGGTCAAAACACTAAACTGCAGCAGCTGCATGAAGCTGAAATAGAATACTGCTGGGCCTTATTCAGTTAAATATTTAAAATGGGCTTCTCCATCTTTCGATCTGGACCATTTCTAGGGAAAATTGAAAAACATTTGAACTGACTTCAAGTAAGTGCAAACCATAATCAGATGGCACAGATATGCCAAGTGACCTTAGTCTGCAATGGTCACATGGGTAAGTAGATTCAGTCGCAGCTTGCAGGCATGAGGTTGATCAGCTTGCAGGCATGAGGTTGATCAGCTTGCAGGCATGAGGTTGATTACCTACTGCAAGTTACCTTTTGTTAGTAACTGTCAGACTACAGATGACAGAAATATTATTAGAATTAAAACTTCAATATATTTTCAGTCTGCAGTCAATAAGGATAAAGTGTGTCATGCAACCCCCAGACAAATTAATTAAATATTATTTCATCTCCAATATTAATTACAGAACTTAATAAATATACATGTACACTGTAATTAAATTATTTATGCATAAACATTAAATTTTATAACCGTTTGAAAATTTTCAATACAAAATCTAATCAAGAGAAGTATATATACATGTCTACAGTTAAACCTGTGTAAGAGACCACCTCTGAATAAAGATCACCCTGAAAATAAACACCACTCTTCAACAACCTTTCATTTACTAAAAAGAACAGAGTTAAACCTAAAAAGAAGACCATTTATCTGTAAAGGTCATGTTTGGTCTCTCTTGGTGACCTTTGTTTACAGGTTTGACTGTATAACAATTAATAAATTAACACATGTACGTAATTAAAACCAGGTGTTAAAATTCTAAATCAATTTCATGTGCAATTAAACATTTTCAGTAAATTATACATCTGTGAGATGGTCCAGTGGGCCTTAAATTTCCAGCTACTTTGAGAAATTTAGGCCCCAGTGGCATGAAATGGAAGAAAAAAATCATCATTTTGAGAAATTTGAGAAATTTTGAAATGTTTAAAAACTAACATACACATAAATTGTTTTTTTAGAAATAATGTATGATCATATAACTAAGAAACTAGTCAAAAAAGTTACATTTTCCTCAGAAGTTGAATAACATTATAGCTCAACAATCCTTACAGCTCAACCAACCTTTTATCTAAACCTTGTAGCTCAACCTTATAGCTCAACCAACCTTTTAGCTAAACCTTGTAGCTCAACCTTATAGCTCAACCAACCTTTTAGCTTAACCTTGTAGCTCAACCTTATAGCTCAACCAACCTTTTAGCTAAACCTTGTTGCTCAATTTAATAGCTAAACTTAATAGCTCAATGTACTTGACCATTGTCTTGCTTGCTTGATAAATACACGCACATGAATTGTCTAACCAACATGTACTGTTTTGAATCTAGAACAATTCAATACTTGTTTCAGAGATTTCAATAACAAAATACCAAAATTAAGCTGCAAACAACAACCAGTCTGCTCTGGTCAGACAGCATGGTTCAGTGACCTGGTCAGGCCCTATATTGGAGACATTAGTCCTTTATTAGTACAGAGAGTACTGAAATTGTCAGCCAACATTTTACTGTAGTGTTTAGATTATACAATATGTACAATTGGTGCTGGCATTACATGTCAAAAACAGCAAATTCTGTGCTCTATTTATAGACAAATGAGGGCAATTATTAATTCTTTTTCAGCTTCAGCAGTAAAATCAAACTATTTGTACAGATAGCAACTTTTATGTACACAATAATTTAAAGGCTTTGCACTGTTATAGCCCATATTGTGAACTTTAGCAAGAAAATTCCAAATGATAAAAGCTTAAATCATGAATATTGACACTGTAGCTGCCAGGAATTCTATGCTAAGATGTTGATTTATGGGACTAAAACATCTGCTATGAACCTTTCAAGTTTGGTTTAACTATGCAAGAAACAATTAAAAAATTGAGCATTAAATGAGCATGACAATTAAGTACATGTGTGTTTTCTTCCTATTAAAGAAAAAATTGATTTGATAATTGAATCCTGAGCAAAATTACTATTGCACCAGATGCTGACATAGATTTTCAAGTCACCATGAAAATGATAAAGTAAAACTGGATCCCAATTAGCCATAATTAAAGCTGCATGCCTCCATATTCATGCTAATTTTCATGAAAATCTTGAAAATGTTTTGAAAAGTAAAATATAGTGAAGTAAACATAGTAATTTATACATTGTAAATCTACGTAAATTACCAAAAAGAAGTCAAAATATCCAAAAACAGCTCTTACTGTGCAAGTCACGCAGTACAAAAATAGTGTGACTATAACAAGAGCTGTCGGTAGGACAGCACGCTCGACTATTCTAATTGCTTGATAGTAAAAGAGCCTTGATAATGTTAAATTTTTTAAGTTCACAAAAGGGCTAATTTTTTTTTATAAATTCATGTTATAGGTCTTAGAGAGAGTCTAATTATACAGTATTGGCTTGACTGTTTGGAAGGTAATGTCACAAGGGTGTTTTATTGAGTATAATAATACTAATTACCTATGGATACATAAAATTGACAGAAAAGGTACAAAGGCTTGTTATTAAGATGTTTTATCAAGTAAATCACTGCTTTATTATTACGAATGCATAAAATTGTCCCAAAAAAGGCACAAACCCTTCATTAGTTATGGAGATAACAGCTTACAAGCAAAACTTTACCATGAATTTTTTAAGTTGAAAAAGGGAAGAAAAATCAGCCTAAATGCAAGATAGAATTATGGATCTTTGTCAGTGATCTACAATTATGACCCTAAATGCATATGTGAAGTTTTAAATAAATATCTTTAATAGTTATTGAGATATGTAAAACTTGCATGTAAACATTAACCAAGAGACTAAGTAGAAAAGGGGATATGAATCAGCCTTAATGCAAGATAGAGTTATGGAACTTGGTCAGTGACATACAATTATGACCCTCAAATTATAACCCTAAGTACATGTGTAAAGTTTCAAGTAAATATCTTTGAAGACCTTGCCAAAATCTCTAAGTTTCAAAGGGGCAAATAATTCTGCAAATATTGCAGACAGAGATATGCAATTTAGCAAAATGATGTACATTGTTACTATAAAAAAGTATTGTAAATTTCAAATGAATATCTCAAGCAATAATTGAGATATTTGACTTTACAAAAAAACTTTAACCAAATTTCTAAGTTTCAAAGGGGCATAATTCTGTCAATATTGTACGCAGAGTTATCCAACTTGTCAATCTGATGTACCTTGTTACTATAAATAAGTATTGTAAGTTTCAATTGAATATCTCAAGCAATAATTGAGATATTTGTCTTTACAAAAACTTTAACCAAAATTTCTAAGTTAAAAAGGGGCATAATTCTGTCAATATTGTAGGCAGAGTTATCCAACTTGTCAATCTGATGTACCTTATTACTATAAATAAGTATTGTAAGTTTCAATTAAATATCTCAAACAATAATTGAGATATTTGTCTTTACAAAAAACTTTAACCAAAATTTCTAAGTTAAAAAGGGGCATAATTCTGGCAATATTGTAGATAGAGTTATCCAACTTGTCAATCTGATGTACCTTGTTACTATAAATAAGTATTGTAAGTTTCAATTGAATATCTCAAGCAATAATTGAGATATCTGACTTTACAAAAAACTTTAACCAACGCAGACGCTGACGCGGATGCTGACGCCGACGCCGGGGCGACTACAATAGCTCTCATATTCTTCGAATAGTCGAGCTAAAAATGCTGCAAAATCAGGCATTTATCAAACACAATAGGCAAATTATTGCTTGAATCTTGAATCCTTTACTTTTTTCAGAATCTAAGTACATTTTGCTCAAGTTTGACTTTCTTGAAATATTTTGGCTCATCTTTAGGCATGAAGCTAAGTTTATGAAACATCAAAGGTTACAATTTGGTGAAACATCAGTATTATACATACATAATTCAAGTGGTAATATGATAGCACAAGATCAACTTCAAATGTGTCCATAGGATACGGGTGCCCCAACACTCCACTGTTTTGTCAATCTAATGACTCTAGGTCAAATATTTTTATGGGCTACACTCAACACAAGTTGAAAATTGCAAATCTTTTACTAAGTCAAGGGCAAAAACTCTACAAATGCCGAAAAAGTACACAAACCAAATCCCAGGTGCATAAATGCTAGGGGAAGGACGGACAGACAAGGGTAAATCTAAATGCTCTTCCCCTATAGTGGGGGCACAACAATATCAACATAAGCTGTCTTCAATAAGTTGGGTGAATGTTTTTGGGACCTACCTAAACCAGTGGGATACCCAAACATCTTGTAAAATGATAGAGCAACAAAATCTGGTTTCACATTTCCAAGGTCCAGTGCCGAGGTGCTGACTAAGCTTGCTGCATCCAGAACCGTATAGAAACGACCTTGACAATGAGTTGACCTTGACCTTGAATCATGACTTGTCGTCTGCCACTCCATTTGACCTTTTTGCACTGAAGAAATCCACTGAAGAGGATACTTTTTCCCTGAGAAGTTTGACTGTGCTGGGTAAGCAAATAAGTGGTTTCCTGCAGAACAACTGCCTTGCTGACTCAGAAGAACATTTTTCACGTGGATAACGTCCTTAGAATCGCAGTCTAAACATTGAACACAGCCAGCCTTTTCAAATGCAATCTCTCTCATACCTTGAACTGAGGTATGATTGTCTAGTAAGTAGCTAAAACTTCCTCTTTTATTGCATCTTTGTTTACATTCTTTCATCTGACTTGAGGCTTGCATCTCATTTTCTGAATCTTTAACTTGTTCTCTGTTATCTGTGGCATCAAAAGTCCCATCACAACCGTTGCTATGGATATAAGAAGAAGTCAAACTACTTTTTTCACTTCTGCAACAACAGTCCTTGTTGCCATGGCAATCAGTCCAAGAACAAGAACAACTCTCGTTGCCATGGTAATCAAAGGTCTCGGCAACCAGTTTTAAGGCAGCAGTACAGCCAGCTGTGAATATAACTGAGTATTCATCAGAAGTTGTCCCAAAATGCTCGAGGATCCTGAAAATATATTCATATAAATACTACTGGAGTTTTGGAGTTGGAGTTGCCTGAACAAGTCGAGAACAAATTAATACGTCACACTTATGTGTGACGTCATATGGATAGTTGTTGATCACGTGACTACTATTAAATCCTTAAAGGCACATTATGCCTCACAAACCAATACAGATGTATTTTTTTCCAAACATGAGTTTTATAAAGTTTAAGTAATGGTTTAAGAGCATGTTAAACACCTATCATTATATGAAGAAATTTGTGCTGTTTGCGAAATTATTTGTCATTAAAAAGCAAAATGTAAATAAAGTAGTATTTTTACTTCCATACAAAATAAAAATCACTATAACTATGCCAATTGCCAAAATCCAAAAGATCCCAGACTGAAAAGTTTGCTTTAATTTCATGATGCAATAATTCTGCAGATTTCCAATGAACCAAAAGACAAAGACAAAATGGCCAAAAAAGTTTTGTTTTTTTTATAAATTTCTATGAGCTGCGCTTCTTTGAGAAAACTTATGGAAATCATAAGCTATATAATTCTTACTAATTAATTCAAGGTGAACACTGAAACAAGGTCTACAGCTTATAACACTAACTCTCAGGGAAATAAGAAGACAATAATTTCTGTCATTCCTGACACCTCATTCCTATCACCATGATAGTATAGGAGAAGTCTCAGGCTAAAATGACTGACGACATAATACCAGTGTGTCAAGGACTAAAATTGCTAGAAAAGCGATATCTATAAAAAGATTTTGAAAGAAAAAGCGGTTTGGCTTCTTGGAGCAACTGCAATACCAGTTTTTTTAATTAAAACATAGAATTAATGACAATAGCCAAAAGACTATACAATATTTAATAAGGTAGAAGAGCACAAAGATTTGACAATGTGATACTTCCTTATACACTACTTTCAGGGTCCAAGATAATAAACAAGAGGGCCATGATGGCCCTAGATCGCTCACCTGACCCATCAAACTCATCCGAACAATTACCTAGACAAGCATTCTGACCAAGTTTCATGATAGGTGAGTCAAAAATGTGACCACTACAGTGTTAACAAGGATTATCCATATTTGAGCAGTGTGACCTAGTTTTTTACCCAGGTGACCAATATTCAAACTTGACCTAGAAATCATCAAAACAAACTTTCAGACCAATTTCCAGGATACTTGGATCAAAACAGTAGCAACTAGAATGTTAACAAGATTTTTCTATTTTTAGCTCCGGTGACCTAGTTTCACATGCGATTTCGAACTCATCCGAGCAATTACCTAGACAAGAATCCTGACATAGTTTGATGAAATGTGACCACTAGAGTGTTAACAAGGTTTTTCCATATTTGGGCGGTGTGACCAAGTTTTTCATCCGAGATGACCCAAGTTCGAACTCATCCGAGCAAGTACCTAGGCAAGCATCCTGATCAAGTTTGATGACACTTGTGTCAAAAATGTGACCGCTAGAGTGTTAATAAGATTTTTCTATTTTTAGCTCCTGTGACCTAGTTTTTCATCCAAGATGATCCATGTTCTAACTCATCCAAGCTATCACCTAGACAAGCATCTTGACCAAGTTTGATGATGATTGAGGCAAAAATGTGACCGCTAGAGTGTTAACAAGGTTTTTCTATTTTTAGCTCCGGTGACCTAGTTTTTCATCCGAGATGACCCAAGTTCAAACTCATCCGAGCTATCACCTAGACAAGCATTCTGGCCAAGTTTGATGATGATTGAGGCAAAAATGTGACTGCTAGAGTGTTAACAAGGTTTTTCTATTTTAAGCTCAAGTGACCTAGTTTTTCATCCTAGATGACCCATGTTCGAACTCATCCAAGCTATCACCTTGACAAGCATCCTGACCAACTTTGATGATGATTGAGGCAAAAGTGTGACCTCTAGAGTGTTAACAAGGTTTTTCTATTTTTAGCTCCTGTGACCTAGTTTTTCATCCGAGATGACCCATGTTCGAACTCATCCGAGCTATCAACTAGATAAGCATCCTGACCAAGTTTGATGATGATTGAGGCAAAAATGCGACCGCTAGAGTGTTAACGAACTAAATGTGGACGGACAATCAACGATCCTAAAAAGGTCACCCTGAGCATGCTGTGGCGGGTGAATGCTTTGATTAATAATTCATTTGTTGCACCCTTAACATTTTCTGCACTCACTCAAAACTGCTAATACTAGATTTTCAATTCAGACATATAAAATTTTTGTATTTTGTTTGAAAATGAAAAAAAAATAAGTTTGATAAAATATATTAATAGAATTTACAAATTGGGAACCTCCTTAATAAGAGGTTGGCACAGACACTGACATTTATAAATGTATCTTTTCTATTTCCATACGCCATCTATTAATTAACTTGCTTTGTTCTTCCTTTAGTACTTCATTAAAACTAACAAATCATGAGAACAGAAAAGAGTCATCAGTTTCCACTAATAAGTCTGTTTGTTTGATGTTATTAACCTCAAAATGTCACTACATTGTATCCAGTCTCTAAGATTTTGCCAGTATTTCAGAAATTTGTTGGAATTTTGAACAAAATATTTTTTCAGTATATGCAACGTAATGCTCAATTTCACACCAACCATTTTTTGTGATCTTCTTAAGAAGCAGAATTAGTCTTAATTAGAAGATTTTTTATGCAGATTTCTTAATAAAGAGCCATTATTCAGTAATAATTAAAGTCAATAGTAACCAAATGATTCAATCCTTAAAAACTAAAGTAGTGGAATCAATGATCCCAAATGATAAGTATAAAACAAGACGGCCATAATATGGCCCTGAATTGCAGACCAGAAACAACTGCTTTTCGGTGTTAGAAATATTTTTTTCAAATGAACTTGCCCTAGACCCTTAGCTCTGGTGACCCCTAAAAGGTGCCAATCAAAATAACAGAGCAAATTTTATAAAAGACTGCCTAAGAATGCTACCGACAAAGTTTGGTGATCATCCATCGATTAGTTCAGTAGAAGAGGCTGATTAAAGGTTTTTCTATTTTTAGCTGTAGCAACACCAAAAGGGGCCAATCAAATTTATATGAATAAATTTGATAACAGACTACCTAAGAATGCTACAGACAAAGTTTGGTGGTCATCCATTGATTAGTTCTTGGATGCTACATACCAAGTTTGAGGTAAATCTGCCCAGCAGTTTTAGAGGAGAAGAAGACAAATGCTGACGCATGACAACGGAAGACAGATGCCGCAGCATCCCCTTTTGATACTAATAGCTCACCATGAACCTTTGGTTCTGGTGAGCTAACAACACTCAGATGAAGTACATTATAACTTTTTATGGCTATGGTAACTTTCTATGGCTGCCTCACAGTGCTTGACACCTGCTATTGCGAGTTAAATGTGTAATGTTCTCAGAATCATCAATAAAATATGAAAATGCAATTCATTAAGGCCCTGTCACACTAGAATGCGCTTTCACTGCGTTTGCACGGCATTGTTAAATTTAACAAAGCGCCGCGAGATCGCAATAAAAAATGTGATATTGTTGATGTCATGAAGACTTCACTGCGTCTTCACGGCGTCCTCACCGCGATAATGGCGATGCCTACGGAGCTTCGACGGCGCGTTTTAGTTTGGCGATTGTCTACGATAGGACTGCGCTTCTATGATGTTTCATTGCGCTTTCCCACTGCGCATTTACGACGCTCATACGACGCTCTCACACTGCGTTGAAATCGTAAAGCTCCGTAAAAAGCGCCGTGCACACGCAGTTAAACGCGGTAAAGACGTCGCACAACCGCCGTACAAGCGCCATGGATAAACCAGGCGTTCATTCGGCCGTTTCTTTTGCCCGCTTTTCGCGGCGCTTCCTGTGTGTTTGTAGGAGATGCATACTGAGTTGCTACTGCGTCCCTACTGCGATGCTACTGCGCTATTTTAGAACGCCGAAGTGACGGCGTTTTGTTTTGAAGCATGTTCAAAATGCGCCGTTGGTCGCGTTCTATGCGATGCCACGACGATGCTACGGCGATGCTGTGGCGATGTTTGCGATCTTACTTGCGCTCACCTTGGGCGTTCTGAATTTTCTTTGGACGCCGTGAAAAACGCCGTCCTAGTGTGACCAGGGGTTTAACCCTTTCTTTATGAATCAAATTAAATTTAAAACAGTTTAAAACAAAAATTGATTTTCTAGTCTTATAGATTAATAACAATGATATTAATTTTGTTTTTACATTTTTTATAAACATTAGGGAAGTGTTAACAAGATATAAAGATTTTCGGTGATTTTTTTTCCATTTATTTTTATTATTATTATTTTTTCCTATAATTGATTTAAAAAAACCCAGTTTTTGAAGACTTTTAATTTTCATTATCTTTTCAAAAAGACTTACATTTGAATTAAAATAGATAAAAGCTGTCTAGCAAACTGTCTGTTTATGCATTATTTATTTCTTTAACCATTGAAGATATTGAAACAGGACTCTTGTAAAACACACTTACATTATTTCTATGCATTTAACAAACACTTTATGACACTTTTGGGCCCCTTTTAACAATTTGAACATAAATTATAATGAATTTTTCATACCATTTTTGTTAAAGTTTTAGGAAAACATTATCATAGTTATTTGACTTGGATTTAGGCACCTTTCCAGACAAAATAGCTGCAGAAGACCTATATATTCTACTTAATGCACTATTATGAAAACAAAAAAGCCTTCTCCCTGTATTTATATGAGGACCAAAAAAATCACCTTATAAGCATAAATTTTGTATTCCTGAAAAAACCAGAAAATCACCAAAATGCAGTTCAGCAGAGATATAAAGCCTTAAGTACTATTGCAATCTACTGTTCAGCAGAGATCTGGTAAACCTAATACTATTGCAATCTACTGTTCAGCAGAGATCTGGTAGACCTGATACAATTGCAATATACTGTTAGCAGAGATTCCTGGTAGACCTGACACTATTGCAATCTACTGTTCAGCAGAGATCTGGAAGACCTGATACTATTGCAATCTACTGTTCAGCGGTT